TCTGAAGTAATATTCGTGTCCGTGCAGATATCACTCTCCTGTAATCACAATAATGTATTACAGGAAAAGAAATTAAATCAATTAGCGAGGTTTTTTGCAAAACGAAAAACGCTAATTCTAGACTTCTTGGACGGTGTTAGAGAACGACGGGCCTCCATCCGCACCGACCGAAGCCTTTGTCCGCGGGCGCAGCCCCCTAGGGAAGAGGCACGCAGCGGTGCTCGGCGGGAAGCCTAGCCTCACCTGCTCACTGCACAGAATGCTTCTCGCCAGGAAATTTTAAAGTACCTACCTATTCGTACAAGTGCAACGGGCATTTTCTTGGCAATTTACTTACAAATAGGAAAGTTGAAGTTTACGCGGGTTCAACGAACAGTATATACAAAGGTTCCCTCTTCTTCATTTACTCCAAAAGTTCAATACCGGGAAAATATTTCCACCGAACGAATAATTGCCCTGAAGATAATTTAAAGAACAATACCATCAATGAGAATTCGAAATACGAGTGCACCGAGATAAACTAGTGTGAGAGACTTCTTTCTATACAAAAATACTTTTACGAATGAATTAATGTATGCATTTAGGGTTTTGACTTCAGAAGGGCGGGGGCTACGAAAAGCACATTGCAGAAGTAGGTAAGAAGGGGATGGCGTCTATAAAACAGTAGGGTATAATTAAGAGAAAGTGCAGGTATTTCTGGGAAAAGTATTTGGGGATATATGACAGTATTGTTATATTTGCAAGAAGGGGACAGATATTTGGGGATGGAGAGAAAGGAGACATCGGAAAGCAATACATGAAAGATTTTTAAGAAGGATCTCAGAAGCACTATTGCAGACTATTCTAGTAACATACTATTGCCGGTTAGATGGTAAGATGGAGACAAAGAGGGAAAAAATGGGAATAGAGGTAACTAAAGTAGCAAGTATGAAGAAAGGATTAGGAAAACGAGGGGGGGAAATGAGTTATTGAAGCAAGTTTTAAGGGAATTAGAAAAGGACAAAGAGACTGAGAAATCCTAATTTGGAAAGTGATAGTTTTCGGAAAGGAATTCATTGAAGGAAGTGACAAGGTTAAAAGAAGGGAATTATTTAAGTAAGGAATTAATTCAAAAGGATAAAGATAAGTTACTACAGAAAGATTACGAAAAGATAAGAAAGTCAACTTATACATATGGTATTATATTATTCAGTCGGATAATATTTTTAATTAATTAAAAGGGAAATATAAAGAAAATGACAGAAAAGTCTATTAAAATATTGGTCAGGAAATGAAACTAGAAATATTGGCTCAATAGCGAGGAAAAATGTAGGAACTACGAGATGGGAGAGGAAGACCATGGTTGAAGATAATTACAGAAATGTCGGGCTTTTGAGGAACAAAGAAAGTGGGAAAGGTGTCATGTTGAGGAAAAGGTGTGGTGGATAATAGAGGACAAAGGTGAAATGATTAGTACGAAAGGTGGAGAGGTACAAGATAGTGTATAGTTTATAGCCTATTATTACACACAATTTATAGTGTGTATTGTATATCTAGCGAATCCAACTACCGTATATTTACGAAGTTGTGAAAATAATTATTAAATCACCATAAGTGAGGATTCGAAATATGAGTGCACCGAGATAAACTAGAGTGAGAGAATTTTTCTTACAAAAAATAATTTTACGAAATAAACGTTCCTATTCAAGAGCTCAACGTTTTTTATCACTAGCAATGACCCAATACGGGTTGTAGTTAATTAAAGAAGTTTAACAAAGGAATTACCCAACCGAAAATAAAAGTTGTGGAGATCTCTTGTCTGTTTAAAGGAAGATCTGAGCGAATTATAAAGAAACTTCTGGAACAAAGGCAATGAGCTTTGTGATGTTAGATGAGTGAAGACAAGGGCGAGATTCAGGGTCACAGTATGCAACTTCTACAGTAATTCTTCCTAAGAAATAATTATTTATTCAGAAAAAATTGAACAAAAAAGCAATATCGTAAATATTTCTTATAAAAATTGCTTAATAGTTTTTAAGCAGTTTTGCCAGTACATAATATGTACCATACGAAATATAATAAATACAATTAAAATGAGTATTAAAAGTTAAAGCTCCTGAGTATTCAAACTATTTCAAATTTAAAATTCCTCTTAAAAAACAAAACTGCGATTATCTTCAGATAACCAGTCATTGTGAGATATTTGTTATAGAATTCATTACGGGACAATTATTTTAAAAATATATCAATTGTATGTCTACATATCACCCACACAATTTTTTTAATACTTTTATTTAATTATACTCTTTGGCAGTAAACACTTTCAATGAAGACCTCTGTATGCAAATACATTCTCAGTTGGAAATAACGCAAGGCAGATAACACTTCCCCGAAAAGCCAAAATACTAGAAACATTCCCTTTTTTTTTTGCTTTCACTCAATTGTTTACTTACACCTTATCTACCTATATTCGTTGAAAGAAAGGAATTACATGCCCACTTGTTAACAGTCGGTTTACGATAGCTTACCCCAAAAATATAAATCATTGCCACAGAGAGGCAATAATTTTGCATTTGTCACATCCCCCACCAAGAATTTATGCTGACCTCAGTGTCTCGCCTACATTTCATCAACTTCTGGTAATTAGTGTCTTCACGACTTTATCCATTAAGATTGATTACGGAAGTACATATTTGAAAGCAAAATAACAAACAACTTGTACACAAATTTGAAAACAAAATAATAATGAATTCATTTCTGAAAGTGAAGATGTGTCATTCCACTCGCATGGAGTGTGTCCGTGCGCTCACCTTCGAGTCGATGCCAATGATGCGGTTGCACTCCTCGCAAGTGTTGGCGAACACCGACTCGTAGCACTTGATGCAGTACGGGTGGTCATCCCGCAGCACGTAGCGCTGGCCCGTCAGCGACTCGTCGCACTGCCAGCAGCAGAAGTGGCCCGAGTGCCAATCCTTGGACATCGCCTTGGTGTACTCGCCGCTGAAAATCAACTGCAACACACAGACACGCCTTCCATTAGTCCACAGATCTACTTACATAGGTATCACACATTCATAAACAGGCCCAATACTATGTATATTTGCACTCTAGATCATAATATAGTATTATATAATACAGAACGGCACTAAGATCAAAACAATGTACTACCTAATACTAAAAATCAGAACACATTTATTTCTAATCATTAATACATTGAATATTCCAATGAATTACGATGTGCCAGTGAAACTTTTGTTTTGACAATGCAGTCAACATTGAATCAATTAAATTACGATGCTAAGAATCTTTCTTGGGTTTTATTACAACTAAATATCATGGAATAAGTATAAACATCTAACGTCTTTTTTTTAAATAACTGAATGCAACTATTGGTATTCCATATTTGCAATTTTATGCACCTATTTTCACGACTACAATTAAAACAATGGCATTTTTGTGGTTTGTTAGCCAAGACACTCACGAAATATAGTCTACATTTACTATTTTTATAATGTTTCATTGCTAGCCAAATACATCCTCGGCCCATTCCCGCGCGCAAAGTATTTCATCAACCCTGTTTGTATCCAGGGCAACTAGCGTCCAGAGCGTACACGGGCAGCTCATTAAGACCATGGCACTCCGACTCCGAGGGAGAAGTACGTCGGTCGTAAACAAAGCGTCGCCGTCGAAAACGGCGCAGCGTAGCGGACGACTCTCTGCGCGTGACGCTTCTCGTCGAGGAGGCGCTGGAGGCTGAGGGCCGAGGACGCCGCGCCGCGCATGCCCCACCCCTCACCCCGCCGCCTCCGCGCGCGCTGAAACGTGCCGGGGCGGAAATGGCTGTCCCAGTAGCGCGGAGATAAACAAATATCGGAGTTTGCGCGGGCCGCTGGCGGCGCCGCATGCATGTCTTCAAGATTGCGCGCTGGGGAAGGGGGATTGGGGGGGGGGGAGGAGGCTTGTGTCGGTCTGGCGGGCGACGAGAGCGTAGGTCGCAGGGGGACAAGAGGTTGTTCAGCGGAGAGACGCGCGACAACCACGACCCGAGCCCTGACCTCCAGCCGCGGACTTGCACACCGGGCCCGGGACGAGCAGCGTCGAAAAGGGAATCTGGACAATGCTGCCAAAGGAAAGTTAGTCGGTGTAAATAGGAGTAAATAGGACACTTGAGAGCAGTTTGACCACGTTGTTTCTTCTGCTTCACGAAAAACTGAATTGTAGTAAGAGTTGTAGCACCTCGCATTTGTAAATGCATTCTTAAATCTACTTTTTAATTTTTTTCGTCCCACAACTCGTTTACAATCGAAAACAAATTATAAAAATGTCGGTTCGGCAAACATCTTCGTTTGCTATTTTTGACATTGAGACGATTAACAAACTCCCAGAGAACTTTGACAGTTTTCGTGGAATGTTTGCGAGGTAAACCGAGTGTCATTCGGCAAATAAAGTACGAGGCAAGGGTTCACGTATTCCTTGGGTACACAAATGGTCTTTTTTGATGATTGTTCCTGGAACCAATACATGGAGCCGGCTGTTCCAGTGAAGCGTTTGGAGTAGGGTTTCGACTACAGCAAATATTTGTTAGAAATGCCTTTGCAGAATTTTTAGTTTTCTCAAAACAAGAATCAGAAGTAGGTCACCGAAGTACTCGCAACAAAGATTTTGCGATATCAGCTTTTAGCTGATCAATAATTTCATTAGTTCATTTCTAGAATATAACTATTTCCTGATAGTAATGATAATTAAGAAAGATTCGTTTATCGGATTTTCTTTTCTGAACTTGCAAGTTAAATTTCATTATAAACATCGGTAAATGTTTCGAGGTGGACAATGTGAGTTCACATTCTTTTTATGTCGCATTCATTCACGATATAATCTCGAACGTTTGGATGTCGTTGTGAATCCATAAAAACAGTAAATCAGCACTTCGCGGTAGACATCCGCGTACGAAAGGTCATTTCCTTGGATCTCGATCCCACTTGCAGAAAGACTTTTTGGGAAACGCTAAGATCGCCAATACGTCAAAACGGCGTCTATTTACGCAAAAAGCGTATCGTTTTACTCGGGAAGCATAAACTCCAATTCTGGAAAGAGAGGGGGAACCGGCATGCCGGGCGGGCTGTCCAGCATACAGCGGCTGCAGCTGCCGGAATCGACTGATCGATTATCGACGGAGCGTCGCCAGCTGCGGCGCGCGTCTTCCGGCGACCGGGGGTTGTGTCGCCGGCGTCGCGGACGCACCACGCGCCTCCCTTCCGCCCCCCGGACGACAGTCGCCGCAGCTTTGTGCGAGAAGGTCCGAAAGGTCTGCGGAGGCCGCGGTATACGATGCAGGGCGGCAGAATGGAAGTGGATTTTTTTGTTTGTTTAATGTGAAACATTTTATGACAAGGATAATAAATGTGGATTACGAGCGGAAAAGCAGCAAGAAATTCGAAAAGGGTAATACGCCACGAACCAAATATGCCCTCGGCTTTTAACGAAAAATTAATATATTCAAGCAACTTAGAAAGAAGAACCGGGAGACTCGGCGGCTGTGTAAGAATAATACTTCACTGTCAATGATCGTAATCAGTAGTTCAAATCGAAAAAAAATAGCTAGTTCACATACGATGTCTTCAAAAATTTTAGTCTATTTCCTCAAGGATAAAAAATCTACTAATTGATGTACGTCGTATGTATTTATTACGTAAAAATGAAATACTCTTTAAACATTTTTTCTTTATGGAAAATCTGTCAGGATAAAATTTGTGGCAATAACCTAGTTCAATTTTTAAAGAAGTGAATACACGCAGTCAACTCAAATAAGTAGCTGTTCACGCACGCGGGAGTACAAAAAATACGAATTTTTTTAGTAGTATAGGTCGTACCTTGCGAATCATTTGGTAGGCTAAATCAATCAAGTGGGTTAAAAAAATCAATTAAGTAGGCTAAAGAACATTCGAGTGATATCAAACATATATTGAATTCAGATTAAGAACATCGAAAAACAATTCTGAACCACAAATCAATGCATTTATATATAAGGTCGTAACAAAGTTATATATAAGGTCGTAATCAATGCACGTAATATAAGGTCAAAACAAAGCAGACACTCTGTTTTACATTCTCGCTTTTACGCCCTAAAAGATGAAAGAAAAAAAAAGTTGAACATTTCGGGAAATTGTGACCATCCTCCTCAATCCCCACGTCCGGGCTCTATCATAAAAAAAATATACGAGCACGCAAGATATGAGTACAGCGCAAGCGGCGAGGAGGAGAGCGACGTACGTGAGCTGGTGGCCACCCTGAGCACGCACGTGCGGAGGCCGCCGGAGCGACCCGCTTTACCCCACACCGCAACCTGCCCCGCCCCCGCCTCCCTCGAGAACGCGAGACGACTGGCGGCGCTCGCCCTTGACTCCGGGGTGACTCTTGCTTCTTTTCCCGCGACCTTCGCCTCCGTCGGAAATAGGCGCCGCCGCCGCCGCCGCCGCCCTCCCGCCGTCGTCGTCGCCTTAAAATTCCGACGACGTACTTGGTCGCAAACAGAGAAGTGGCAAAAGTGCGAATTCAGAAGAGTAACTCGGCAAATTGTGAAACAGCCAGCACGTCACGTGCACCGAACGTAGCGCCGAGCTTGCGTCGAATGCGAACGCCAATGTGGGGGACTTCGCATACGCTAGTTTGTGAGCAGCCGCGTATGGAATTCCGGGGAACAGAACAGTGATAAAAGATAAGTACCTACAGCGGAAGAGGGTAAAGGGCCACAAACATGGTCGTGATTTAATTTAATCCTCAAACCTCAACATAAATTTATTTCACTAAATTGTCGGTTTTCTGCTTCATAGAATTGAAGAGTCTATTTTATTCTGATAATTAATGTGTTAGCTTTCACTTAAGTGCGACTTTAATTACAATACATCCTTTGCTAAAGTAAGTCTATCGCCGCCCACATTGTAGTAAGAGCACAGAGTAAACAAAGCTTGCCTTCAATCTTTAACTCGTACTTTCAATAAAGCTAAAACAGCTGATTACAAGTGAGGACGAGAAGTGAGGCTCGTCAAAGATGACGGGTAATGAAGTCTGAAAGTGAGAACAAGCAGAGAGAACGGTAAGAAGACAGATTCCATTTACTGCCTCTCGCACGAGACTTAAAATTTTTTTCATGTGAAGAAAAGTCTACTTAAACATTTTGTTATAAAAATGAGTACTAATACGTTCTTCAGTAACGTGAAGTATAACTGAGTTTGAAACAATAGTACACACTTATAATTTATACATTTTACTTTCAAAGGAATATTAAAGACTTATACCACTGAATAGTCAGAACGTGAAGTGAAATTTAAATATTTATTGTTCTCCTTTGTTCCATGTCATTATAATTCTCATTGATTTGTTGAGTGCTTGATTCCCCATGAATTACGTAATTGTCAAGTTTGTTTTCGAGTTCCTATTCAAAGTATTACTTACTAATTACCTGTTCACAATGTAATTCATACCGCAGAGTCGACGGCAATAAAAGATGTCTAATTCATAGTCACACAACTATATTTAGCTAGGCTTATTGTGACCATTTTCATTTACGTTCAACTGACAATCAGCCTTTGATAAATGAACATACCCAATTTCATACCTAATAAACGGTTTCTGAATACCAATTTCTTTTTTCTTTATCGGGAGCACGAATTTGACATTTCAAATCCGCGTACAATGTCGATCACCACTTCAAAAATAATTTTCGTAAACGACAAATTACGTTCTCACGAGGAATAACAAGTGATACACATCTTTCATCTCAAAAGTTCAGTTAGGAAGAATTTCCAAACTTGCGAAGTTGGAGAGCCGCAAATGAAGGTAAGGTTAACCACGTAATAAGAATGTACAGTTACAATTTTATTCCTCTTTCTCGTGTGAAACAAATTAAAAGAATCCATTTTAAATGCTACCTTCTTTTGTAAGCTGTATGAAACCGACATTGCATTACATTCACTAAACAAACAACAATTAATAATACTTGA